TTGACTAGAACTGTTGGTTTGGCTGGAAGGTAAATGTGTCACAGGCTAACAAGACAGAAAACCTAGTTCCTCTGTCTTCAATTTATTTGATACCAAGAAGTTAAGTGTATCACAACTTTCTTTATCCAAATCCAATACTACAGCATTTGGGAGTACTGCTGAAAAGACGATATTTTGACAAGGCTTTTCATCTTGCACTCATCAGGACAATTTACAATAAATATGAATGTGAAACAATATTTAACATTGTATAAGAAGAGAGTGAGTTTGTAGAACTAGGAACTCTGATTGGTAGTATCGCTGCCATGGAGAAAGTGTCAGTTAAACAAAATATACCTTTTCTCAACAAAACTATAACTTGTTTCAACATATACTCAAAAATTAATTCCTGATGCAAATCTATTTTTTTTCACAGTGATGATACACCACTAACCTATCAGTTAGTCTTCAAAAATATGTGTGCTGAGATCAATCTAGAGCTATAGTGTGTGCTGAAGTAAGATGGAAATACACTTGAAAAAATTTTAAACAAATGAGCAAATGTTTGATTCATTCTAAATGGCTGAAATATTACCTTGGGTTGTTTTGTTCTAAATGGCAGGAGAACTATGACCAAATGTTGGTTACCTTATCAATTTTTATAGCTAATATCATTAATGGAGTGTAATATTCATCATTTTGAACATGAGCTAATTTGATTATACATTTGCATCCAGCCACATAGTTTAACAATCTCTGATGCCGTATAAACATATACCCGTAAGAAAAGAATAACTGTTCTTTGCCACGTATATTACAAGGAAATGACCAGAAAAAAACACAATTAAGTACCATATATCCATGTATCTCAATCATTAATATATTCACTAACTGTAAAGTTGTGTGGTCTTCTCATGAGGGCTTAGTAAGTCCATCAATTGCTTTTTTTAAAATGTAAACAGATGGCTAAGTCAATTGCTGCTTTTGCAGAATTTGGCCTTTCATCAATTTGATCATCATGTTCCAAATAACAAAGGATTGCCTACAATTATGTTGCATTATGCTGTCGCTCATACATAACTGAGCCTCTAAGGTTCTTGAGTAGATTTATAGTTCAGGTTGTGGATGCTGTGATTGGTTCGCTCGCCGAACTGGTTTGTTAGTTCGCAGACATTTCATTACCCTACTGGGTAACATCATCAGTGCAGCCTCCAATGAAGCGCTGTTGTGCTTTCCCATCTGGTAGTTAAACACTGGGATCCGTTGGATTTGATTACCTCATTTCCGGTTCTACTTCGCAGTGGTGTATATTCTGGGTCCAGTTCTATGTGTTTGTTGATGGCCTTCTTGGTAGAGAACCAAGCCTCTAGGAATTGCCGTGCTTATCTGTTTCGCCTGTCCTAGGATCCTGGTATTGTCCCAATCGAACTGGTGGTTCTCCTTAACCGTGTGAATGGAGATGGGTGAGTATTGGTCGTGTCTTTTTGTTGCTAGTTGGTGTTCATGTACACTTGTGGCCAGCTTTCTTTGTGTCTGTCCAATGTAATGTTTGTCGCAGTCCTTGCATGGAATTTTGCATATTACGGTGGTTCTGTCCATAGTGGGTAATACTACCATTGGACAAAGGGCGCATGACAGTAATACTAAACAAATGGGACTACCTCAATACAGCACAGACACTACTAGCAGACACGAACACATACCGGCAAGTGCAAATAGACCCGACACCGCAAATGGGTAATAAAATAATCAACGCACTAAAGAGACTCAAACAGACCGGACAAGTCAACAAAACAGACTACCTAAAAATGAAACCATAAGGGACAAACACGCCCCGATTCTATGGCCTCCCAAAGGTACACAAAATGGAAGTACCCCTCAGACCCATAGTCTCCTTCCCAGGCACACCAACACATAGGTTTGCCAAGGAGTTACAACGAGGACTAAAGCACATCGTCAGCAAGTCACCCCAATCAATTCACTCAGCCCAGGAGTTCCTCAATTCCCTCAAGGACATAAGAACAGACGATGACGAGAACATGGTGTCATTTGACGTTACCGCCCTATTCACATCAATTGACATACCACTGACAAGAGTAACACTAGCAATATTACCAAAAGAATGAGACCCGAGTGACATCATCTCCACGGACAACATGCTGAAACTATTGGACCTATGCCTCACAACCCACTTTACCTTTCATGGCCAAATCTACGAACAGATCAACGGGACATCCATGGGGTCACCTATCTCCAGACTAATAGCAGAAGCGGTGAGGCAGAGATTCGAAAGCATGGCCCTCCCGCAAATCTAACCCAAACTATGGATCTGATACATGGATGACACTTTCGTCATCATCAAACAGACCAAACTAGAGGAGACATACCAACTAATAACTAACACTCTCACCGGCATCAAATTCACTAGGGAAGAAGAAAAGAACAAACAGCTCCCATTCCTGGATGTCATGGTAGAACCCAGGGCCAACGTGGAATTCCCAACAGAGGTACGTAGAAAAGCCACACACACTGACCTAGCACTGAATTTCAACAGTAACCACTCCAACACCCACAAACGAAGTTGCATGAAAACACTATTTAAACAAGGGACAACACACTGTAGCAACCCAGAACTACACCAAAAAGAACAGGAGTACCTCCACCAAATATTCAAGGACAACGGATACTCAAATAACTATGCCTATCACATGAACAACAACAGGAAGATGCCGCACGCCCTAACACACTCATCACGCTACCATACATCAAGAACATATCCAAACTGACCACAAGACTCAGAGTAGCACACAAGCCCACATCAACCCTACGCCAACTGCTAACTTGAACCGAAGACCCTTTACCCACTATGGACAGAAGGTACAAAGGCTCCTCTTCCAGTCTCACCAAACAATCATTGTTATTTCCTACTATTGTCCAGCAAGTTTAAACTGACTGACTGCAACTCCATTTGATCTTGACCTAATTTGCTAATTCCATATCATTTCCATCATGAACAGTCATAGTAACATCATTTATCTTTGCCTATCTGCTACCAAAAACCTCAATCATGTGCTTTTCGGCTTGACACACAACTATTGCAATTGTCTGCTGACTTTGAATTCACTATTAAAGTCAGTTAAGTTTTTGGTCAATGTTAACAATAACATTAACTCCCAAGGTGCTGACGTTGAGGGATTCAATGATGACAATGCTTTTGAATCGTCGAAGGAAGATATTTAGATACTCTCCTGTAACAGGCAGTTATTATCTAGCACATGTGTGACATGAGTATCACTTGCCATTTACCAGCCCAAGCTTGCGTGGAGTCCAGTCTTGCTGCATGCAGACACTGATTGTTTCAATATTTGAGGAATTACAAATGGTGCTGAACATTACGCAATATTTTGGTAACATGACCACTTCTTACACCATAACACAGGGAAAAGTCATGGATGAAGCAGTTGATAATGATTGGGCCTAGGACACTACCTTGAGGAACTCCAGCAATATCCTGACCCGAGATGGTTGTCCTCTCCCAACTACAAACATCTTCCTTTAAGCTAAACATGACTCCAATGAGTGCAGAGTGTCCCTGACACCAAGTGATTTCAGTTTTACTAAGGCTTCTGATGTTATAAATCCAGTCAAACACTGCCATGAATACAAATCACTAATCAATATTGCTTCCTATTAATGTCATAATTTCTGAATTTGCTCTCCATGTTTTAGTCCTTTACTTCACTATTGAATGACAACTTATGAAGGGATATAGCTATACAAATGATAGTGGTCCTGCACCATCTTGTTCAAGTGACTGTTTTTCAATTGAGTGTTAACTGGTTTTGTGATTAATTAGTATATTATCATTTTTGAATTTAAATTTCTAAAACAGGCAGACGGATTTTGGTTTCAGTTCTGAGAATATAAGCTGTTTTAAAAAGTCAAAATATTCATTTTGAGTTGTGACCTAAAATAGTAATCCCAAGAAAGCAGGCCAAGTGTACAGTAGGATACTTATGATGTTAATTGATTGAATGTAAATATTGCTGAGTTTATGACAGGCAGAGAAAACAGACCTTGAATTTTTATTCTGACCTCAGCGTAGAAGAATCAGAACTTCAGTTCCAAACAAGTTCACCCTAGCAGAAGAGTTTTAGTTTGTGAAGTCTGTAAGCTGTGAGAGCTTGAAGACAGGTTTTCAACCGGTCAGAACCAAAAACAGGTTCACACCACCAGTCCAAGGAGGGGAATCAGAAAATCAACCATAACACCACCTCAGCAGTCCAAGTAGGAAAACTTTACAGATAAGTAAGAAATTAGAGTCAAGATAGGAGTGATATTTTGCTGAAATTTAAGGATCTTTCATGGATATTACCAGGAAACAGATTGAAACTTTCTTTTACTGTTTATGTTATGGTCCTTATGAATATCTTCTACATATACCTGTGTTTGTTTCTTTTTTTGCATAATAAATTTGCATTAATTTATGTCAATACATTCAGTAACTAACCACTACAATAATCAATTGTAAATATTTAAACTAATGATCTATCAAGCCAGGTTTCACTCTGGAATCTGACTTGTCCAGAACTCAGTTGGGATTATAAGAGCTTATTCAACTGTAGGAGGCAATGCAATCTTGACCTTGTCATTATCCAGCATCCAGTAGTGTGTATTTCTAGAAAGGGCTGTAGGATATAGTCAAAAGCAAACCATATCACGCACTTTCCTGTAGTAGGCCAAACAACATTAATGCCAGCTGCAGCACTCTAACTGCTTCTCTGATGAATAAAAAGGAACTCAGCACATGGTAATAAGGCAATCAGGATCTTACACCTGTTCCTATATCAATCCATACAATGATTGACCAACTCAGTGAAAATAATAGTCACATTCAGAACATTTATATAGGTTAACTAAAGGCACTGTGAAACAGATAACTTGATATTCCAATTTCTACCAATGATTCTTGATTTTGAACTGTTTATAGAAGGAAAGGGAGACACCAGTCTGTGTCTTACCTAGTAGCTGATCTTTATCCAAGAGTTTCTGATCCAACTGGATTGCTACCACACTATCTTCTTCAGTACTCGTTACTTCTGTATTGCTAGTCTGTTCTTTCTGTGCTCCACTCCTGGGCTCTTCTTTAATATTGGTAGCATTAGCAAATGTTTCGGTTGCAGTTGCTTCTTTAGTCATAGGCTTGCTTGATGCTGTTTCATCTTCTACAGATTTTAGCTTTTTAGATCGAGTTCTCAACTGATACAGACTGAAGAAGATATGACAATCAGGTTGGATTTTATGTATCTGTACCCTTACAAACTTTCTCCCTCACCAAATAATCCAGTGGCGGCGACAGCCCAGTGGTATTACCGGAGAACAGGGTACAAATCCCACCACTGCAGATGGTAGAATGTGAATTCAATAAAGAATCTGGAATTAGGGGTCTAATAATGACTATGGATCCATCGCCAACTGCTGAAAAAACTTAGGGGAGGAAACTGCCATTGCTACCTGGTCTGGCCTACATGTGACTCCAGATCCACAGCAATGTAGGTGATACTTAACTACCTTACGGGCAGTTAGGGATGGGCAATAAGTGCTGGCCTAGCGGGCAATGCCCACATGAATGAATAAATTAAAAAAGAATTAATATTGAATTGTATCTATTTATTGCTATTGGCAACTCCATATTAAAACATGTCATTAGCTCTATAATATTTTAAAATAGATACATCCTAATGTGAATTTTAACTAAGATTTCAAACTTTAATGGCCAGTAATGAATACTTTCACATTGCATATTTAATGTTTGCATAATAATTACCCACTACATAAAATACCTGTAAATTATAAAGCAAAGTTCATTCAAGAAAAATGTTAGGAGTGACAAAATTAGTTTAGCCCCTCTTAAAAGCAAATTAACTGACTCTGAAAAATTTTAATTCCATAACCGACATGTTTTGCACATTTCCAGTTTTATGATAAGTTGAATGAGTTAAGGTTACCTCCTCAAAGACATTCCAGATTTCCTTGGTGTAGCCTTTCTTTGTTTCTGCCAAGCCTCCAACTCAGGAGTTGATTCTGGAGTGGGTTTTGTGTGATCAATAGTTTGAACGTCCTTCCCTTGTTTCCACAGCGTGTACCTGCTTGGTTGAAATTTTTCTACAAAGATGTCCATAGATATCTTCACCATGTCATTCCGGCAGGTACACTAAGACAACAATGAAAAAACTGGATTAAAACAATTGAAAACTTTGTAAAAGCAAGCATCTGTGATTTATATTAGAAAGAATACTGAGTGCATTTTTAAAATTTCTTCATGGGATGTGAACATCACAGACACTACCATCATTTGTTGACCATCAATAATTGCTTTTGAGAAGGTGTTTGGTGCTCCTCTTCTCCCTTCATTGCATAAGTAAATGAAATAATTCTAAAATCCATGCAGAAACAGAGTGACCTGGGATTATATTCACACAATTCACTATTATGATAGCGTAGGTTGAGAATATGGTTAAAAAGATCACAAGGTTATAGGCTTTATAAACAGAGGCATGGAGTACAAAAAGGAAACAAATCATGAACCACCTTCATAAAACCTTGCTTTTGCCTGAACTGGAGTACTGCAGCTAATTCTGCGCATCCCATTTTAGGAAGGATATGAAGGCTTTAACGATGGTGCAAAAAAAGTTAATAGTCATAGAGACGTACAGCATGGAAACAGGCCCTTGGGTCCAATTCATTCATGTCAACCTAAATAAATCTAGTTCCATTTGTCAGCATTTAGCCCATATCACTCTAAACCCTTCCTATTCATACACCCATCCAGATGCCTGTTAAATGTTGTAATTGTACCAGCCGCCACCATTTCCTCTGGCAGTTCATTCCATACACGCACCACCCTCTGCGTGAAAGTTGCCCCTTAGGGCCCGTTCCAATTTTTCCCCTCTCACCTTAAACATATGCCCACTAGTTTTCCCTGGGGAAAAGACCTTGTCTACTTACCCTGTCCATGCCCCTCATGATTTTATAAATCTCTACAAGTTCACCCCTCAGCCTCCAAAACTCCAGGGAAAATAGCCACAGCCTATTCAGCCTCTCCAGTCTCTCCCTATAGCTCAAACCCTCCAACCCTGGCAACATCCTTGTAAATCTTTCCTGAACCCTTTCAGGCTTCATACCATCCTTCCTATAGCAGGGAGACCAGAATTGTATGCAACAATTCCAAAAGTGGCTTAGCCAATATCCCGTACAGCTGCAACATGACCACCCAACTCTTGTGCTCAATGCACTGACCAATAAAGGCAAGCATACCAAACACCTTCTTCACTACTCTATCTACCTGGGACTCCACTTTCAAGGAACTATGAACCTGCACACCAACATCTCTTTGTTCCGCAACACTCCCCAAGACCTTACCATTAAGTGTATAAGTCCTGCCCTGATTCACCTTTCCAAAATGCAGCACCTCACGTTCATCTAAAATAAACTCCATCTGCCACTCTCGGCCCATTGGCCCATCTGATCAAAATCCCGTTGTACTCTCAGGTAACCTCCTTCACTGTCCACTACACCTCCAATTTTGGTGTCATCTGCAAAATTACTAACCATACCTCCTATGTTCACATCCAAATCATTCATATAAATGACAAAAAGCAGTCGACCCAGCACCAATCCTTATGGCACACCGCTGGTTGGAGGCCTCCAGTCTGAAACGCAACCCTCCACCACCACCCTCTGTCTTCTACATTCAAACCAGTTCTGTATCCAAATGGCTAGTTCTCCCTGTATTCCATGTGACCTAACCTTGCTAACCAGTTTGACTGATTGATTGATTGATTTATTGCCATGAGGAACTTTGTTGAACGCCTTACTAAAGTCCATATAGATCACGCCCACAGCTCTGCCCTCATCAATCTTCTTTATTACCTCTTCAAAAAACTCAATTAAGTTCATGAGACACAATTTTCCACACAGAAAGCCATGTCGACTATCCCTCATCAGTCCTTGCCTTTCCAAGTTCATGTAAATCCTGTCCCTCAGGATTGCCTCCAACAATTTGCCCACCATTGATGTCTGGCTCACTGGTCTATAGCTCCCTGGCTTTTGCTAACCACCTTTATTAAATAGTGGCACTACGTTAGCTAACCTCCAGTCTTCTGGCACCTCAACTGTGGCTATCGGTGATACAAATGTCTCAGCAAGGGGCCCAGTATTCATTTCCCATCTTCCCACAGGGTTCAAGGGTACACCTGATCAGGTCCTGGGGATTTATCCACCTTAATGTGTTTTAAGCCATCCACCTCTTCTGTAATATGGACATTTTTCAAGATGTTGCTATTTATTTCCCCACGTTCTGTATCTTTTATATCCTTCTCAACAATAAACACTGATGCATAATGCTCATTTAGTATTTCCCCCATCTCCCGCAGTTCCACACATAGGCAGCCTTTCTGATTTTTAAATAGTCTTATTCCCTCCCTAGTTATCCTTTTGTCCTTAACGTATTGAAGAATCCCTTTGGATTCTCCTTAACCCTATTTGCCAAAGCTATCTCATGTCCTTTTTTGGCTCTCCTGATTTCCCTCTTAAGTATACTTCTACTGCTTTTATACCCTCCAAGGACTCACTCAATCTCTGCTGTCTATACCTGACATATGCTTCCTTCTTTTCCTTAATGGCTCAAGGTATTTCAATTACATGGCTAGATTGGAGAATGTGAGGTTACTTTTCTTAGAGAAAAGACTAAGAGGAGATTTTACTGACATTGTCAAAACCATAAACATTCTGAACAGAGAGAAACAAAGTTTCAACAGTGTACAACGTCTAGGTTATTAACTAGATTAACATCTAAATCTGGCAGAAACTAACATTTAACTGAATTAGATATTCTTATTTGTAAAAATGTAGAATGGGAAATCATAGAAATAGGGCATAGCATCAAATGATGCTAAGGTGGTGGCCCATAGGAGTGTATGACAAGTTTGAAAAGTTTACTACAACTGAATACTACAGTGAAATGATGAGGCTGCTTGTGTAAACTAATATGTGAGGCCTTGATTTGGGAGATGTAGCAGCCTCAAGACAAAAGCAAAAGGACAGCAATGAATATATATGACAAAAGGTGACAAAGGGAAATTAGTTCTGTTCACTTTTTTTAATCCATTCATGGCATATGGGTGTCACTGGCTGTGTCACCACTAATCATCCATCCCTAGTTGTTCTTGAGGTGATGAGCTGCCTTCTTGAACAACTGCTGTCCAAATGGTGTAGCATTAGGAAGGGAGTTCCAGGACTTCCTTCATTGTCACTGGGTTAATGGTATATTTCCAAGTCAGGATGGTGAGTGCCTTAGAGGGGAACTTGCAAGTAGTGGTGTTCCCATTTATATACTGCCTTTGTCCTTCTAGACAGTATCCAGTTTGGAAGGTGCCCCCTAAGGAGCCTCTGTGATTTTTTGCAGTGGGTTTGTTCTTGGTACACTCTGCGGGGACTCAGCATCAGTGACAGAGAAACTGAATGTTTGTGATGTAGCGTTAATTAAGCAGGCTGCTTTGACCTGGAACGACATCAAGTACCATCCAGGTACAGGAACTATGACTGAGCACAGACAGGGATAAATCAAGCAAGGGCCAGGCATTTCTGTGGCTTCATATTTAATAATCTTTGATCTGAATTTTAAGATTTGGGGTTACCTGGATGTTTTTCTAATAAAGAGGTCAATGAAATGACAGTGGAATATGATTGTCTAACAGACCCCCTGCCTGTGGTTACCACTGTTAGGTTGCAGCTTTGCAGATTGTTTGGATTTTTCAGTTGGTAGTCAGCCTGGGGAAGGAAAGACGGTCTCCCAGCCTGGCTCTGCTGTTTCTGGAAAACCTCTTGTTATGGGCCCAGTTTGGTATCTGGAGCTGTGGCCAAGTCTGAACCTTGATTGCTCTCCTGAACAGCACCCATGACAATCCTTGATACCGTGTTTCCTGAACAAGCGGTTTTATTTTATTAGGTAACTTGGTTATGGATCTTTAGATTTAATACAGAAAAAAACACACAACTAACAGTATCAGGAGACGGATAAAAAGTTACATTTATGTCGAGGCACATGTAGTAGTAGGTCCAGAGAGATATTATGTACTCCTCTCATCTCAGTCAAAAGGCAGTAAAACAAAACCCTATCAGGCAAGGCCATGCAGCACAGAAAACCAGAAATCTGAATATAAGACAAATGACAAGAAGAGCAAGAAAAACAGAAAAGGAGAGTATGAAGAACAAAAACTGCAAGAAGCAAAGTCTTTCTGTGCTCCTTGTCTAGTTGCATTGAATTTTAAATCACAGCCTTATTGTTAATAGTTTACCCGAGAACTGTTTTGGTTCTGGACTAGTCGAAGAATTTGAAAAAAAATCAATAAATTATCAAATAATCACGAGAATCACTGAACACACCAAAAAAAAATGATTATTAACATCTCTTATAATACATAAAGAAACGGAATTAATTATTTTGAAACTTGAAAATGACGAAACAGCATCTTTTTAAGACGGTATTGCGAAATATTTTCAGGCAAAGATATAGTAATTTTCTTGCAACAATTTTTAAATTCAAAGTGATAGAGATCAGTTGTCTTCCACTATATGTGTGTAAAATATTTCACTTCAAAGTTACTGAATACATTTTATAACTAAAAATATCACAGTTTAGTCAAGGTAACACAGTTAATAGAACATAGAACAGTACAGCACAGTACAGGCCCTTCAGCCCACATTGTTGTGCCGAACTTTTACCCCAAATCTAAGGTCTATCTAACCTCCACCCCTACCCTATACTATCAACCATATGCCTATCTAATAGCCGCTTAAATGCCCCTAATGAGGCCGACTCCACTACCCATTCCGGCAATGCATTCCACGCCCCTACCACTCTCTGAGTAAAGAACCTACCTCTGACGTCTCCCCTCTATCTACCTCCACTCACTTGAAAACTATGCCCCCTCATAATAGCTACCTCCACCCTAGGAAAAAGTCTCTGGCTGTCCACTCTATCTATACCTCTGAGCATTTTGTACACCTCTATCAAGTCACCTCTCATCCTTCGTCATTCTAAAGAGAAAAGCCCTGGCTCTCTCAACCTTTTCTTGTAAGACCTTCCCTCCATTCCAGACACCATCCTGGTAAATCTCCTCTGCACCTTTTCCAACGCTTCCACATCTTTCT